CCCAAGGGCAGGGACACTGCATCTGGCCACAGGAGGTGCTCAGTACACGGTAGCTAATAAGGGGAGAACCCCCAGTTACTGCTGGGTTGTCCGCACCAGGCTGGGTGCCCAGGAAACTTCAGGGGGACTCGGGGGGTGCGGTCCACCTTCCCGGCAGCTGTACCTTCCCGGGTGCTGCTGATGGGGTAGTGGGGTTAGGGGTGGGGTCAGGCTCAGGCTGGAATCCCCTCCTCCCTACCATGGCCTTGGGGAGTGGGCCCACTGGGGGTGCTGTGTGGGAGAGTAAGGCTTGGCTGTAGCCTGAGAGTGATTATAAACACACTGGGAGTAAAGTAACGTCAGAACAGGCCCCACCGATGGAGCACATGTTGTCAGGCACTGTGCTTGTGTTTCACACACACTCGGAACCTTCGTGGTCACCTCGCTCTGCTCACTTGACAGATAAGGGAACTGAGACTCAGAGGGAACTAGCAAGCCCCCTAAAGTTCCTCGGAAAGTGGGCGTCCAGGGACAGAGTCAAACTCCGGCCAGTTGGCTGCTCAGCCTGAACCCAGCTGCAGATGTGAGCCGCCCACAGGGCACGTGGGCAGGGCTGGGTCTCGCCTCCTTTCTCAGGCCATGGCTGAGCCCAGAGCCTGGGGATGAGTCTCTGAGGCCCAGCAGGCAGAGGCGAGGAGAGGCCACCAGCTGCACCCCTGCTGGCCTGGCACCGTTGGCCAGGCAGGACCCCCGTCAGGCCCCTCACCTCCCCCTCCACGCAGAGAGGGACTCGATGAGCAAATGAATGAAGCATACATAGTGGGAAGCACTTTGTGGCTTCCAGCTCAGCTGCAAATAGTTCTGTGTGGGCAGAGGGAAAGAAAAGTCAGCATGTCCCCTCCTGCCCTGCTCTCGAGCTCCTTGGTGTCCCCTGGGCTGCTCGCCCCTTGCCTTGCTCCAGGCAGGGAAGAAAGAAGCCCGTCCTTGCAGTGTGCCCTTGGGCCCAGGTGCCGCGCTTCATTATATTAACATGCCCAACAGCCCTGTGAGGGGAAGTGTCACCCCCACTGCGAGATGGGAGCTGGAGGCCCGTCTCCTTTGGAGGGGATATGACCGGGCAGAGCTGGGATTCTAGCCAGATCTGTGTGAACCACAGTCCAATGGTCACCAGGAAACCCTATTGTCCTCGGGGGGTCAGGGGCCAATCAGCAGAAGATGGGGGAGCAGGGAGGGCGGTGGAGTCTGTGGGTGGCCCAGCTGGCCAGCTGGAGCTCCTGGCTCCAGACAGACCTTCAGAAAGTATCTCAAAACCTGCTGCCACCTCCCTGTAGCCAGCCCCACTCAGGGCCTGAACCTCCAGGAGGGTCCTCCTGCAGGCCGGCTCTGAGGCCACTTGTGGTGGCCCCTTGGGGTGATGTCCTCTTCCTGGCACCCCACAACCCCTCCAGCTGCCTGCTAACTCATGTCTCAGCCCAGAAGGCAGGCTGGGCAGGGTGCCTGTCCTCATCAGACCCTGAGGCCCAGAAAGGAGCGGTGACTCAGTCAGGGTCGTCCCAGGCAGGCGCAGAGCTGGAATGGGTCTTCTAGGGTACGGCCTTGAGGAGGGAGCCTCAGCCCGGCCCCAAAGACCTTCCGGAGGAGGTCTTCGCCTGTCTGAGACATTCACAGGATGTCCTTTTCCTGGTCTCAGCCCTATGGACAGGGTAGCAGGAAATGAGTGACCATGAGTGTGGGAGGAAGGCTGGGGGCAGCAGTTCCGAGGGTCAGCCCCCTGAGGACCGGCCTGTCTGCTAGTGTGTGTGTGTGTGTGTGTGTGTGTGTGTGTGTGTGTGTGTGTGTGTCGGGGAGGTGCGTGGGGTCCTCCTGGCCCAGCACCGCCCACCCACTGCCTGACTCCCCAGGATAAGACCTAAGCAAGGTCATGCTTTTGGAGCAGGCAGGAGGGACAGGGAGAGGATTCAGAAAGGGGGACGGGGAGGGAGGAAGAGGTGCACGGGGGGAAAGAGCGGCCTGACCACCACGTGGCCTCCTTGCGTAAAGCCTGAGAGCGCTAGTCACAGTTCTCCCACGTGATTGGTGCCCCCAAATTGGACAAGGCTCAGTGCCCAGCATGAGAGGCATGGGGAGAGGAGGGGGGGCGGACAGGTGGAGGTGAGGGAGGAGTAAGCTGGGCAGCGAGGGGCTCCCTGGGAAGGTGCCTGGGGGCGGGACGGGCAGGGAGGTATGGAAGACGGCGGGGCACGCGGTGGCCTTCAGCAGAGCTGTACTGCCCATCCTAGCCAGTGCTGGCTGTGAGGGGACCTGGGGAGGGGCTGCTGGGAGGGGCGGGGGCGAGAGGCTGCCCGAGGGTAGAGCGTGGCAATCCCCGGAGAGCACGAGGAGGGAGACTGGCTGAGGATGGTACTTCCTGTGGGCAGATGGGACAAGGCATCCGAGGATGACTGTGTGACCACGAAGGAGATCTGAGTGACCATCTGGAGGAGTCTGGGGACTGATCCATGTGGTCACAGACGTGGATGCGTACATGTTCTCTTGGGCCATGAAGACAGATAAGGGGCACAGGGTACAGAGGCCCTGGTTCCCCCCTGGGGGGACCTGAACTCATCTTCCTCCCCAGCCCTGAGAGTGAGCCCAGGCCCTGCCAGCCCTCTCTGCTGGGAGGGGCTGGGCACCTTTGACAAAGGGCTTGCTCTCACCCTCCCGGTCTCCCTCGTCCCCTCCCTGGTCCACCAGCTCTCCCACTCCCCTCAAACTCCCCACCTTCACCCTCAGCTTGCTCTCTAGCTGCCTGAGAAACGGGAGCCCTGGGAGGAGAACCCCTAAGGTTCGCTGGCTGTACCCACAAGCACCTGGGCTCCTGCCTGAGGCTGCCGATCGCCCCTCAGCTGCTTGAGCACGTGGCTTGGATTCTCGCCTACGCTCCAGCCTCGCCTGGTCAGCTGCCTCCACGCGTGGAGGCTTCACAGGTGTCTTACACACAGCGTTGCCCACACTGCGCTGACCCAGACTGCCTCAGCCGGGCAACCCCAGCCACCTCTCAGAGGTTCATCCCTCAGGCCTGGGTCTCAATGCCGCCTCTGCCAGACCATTTCCATGTGACTCTGGCAGGCGTCTTACCCACTCAGCTTCTGCACCCTCATCTGTTAATGAATGAATGAATAACTTCATTAATTCAGAAGGCTGGAGGAGTAGGGAGGAGGATGGAGCAGCGAGAGATGGCAGAAGGAGAAGAGGCCCTTGGAGCCTGGAGCCTGGTGCTGGGAGAGACCTGGGAAAGCCGTGGAGGGGGTTCGAGGGGCAGAGGCCTGATCCAATCCTCACCTTCCAGGGCACACTTAGGGCTGTCAGAGAATGGACGGGGGGGACAGGTCAAAGCAGGGAGAACACTGTGGTGGTCCAGCCGGAGGTACTGAGGCTGGGACCACGGTGGTGGAGGAGGTAGAGAGATTGCGATGGGATCTGGGACTTGACAAGACTTACTGGAGGGCACAAGGTAGGGCGCGTGGGTAGCGGGGTTAAGGAAGAGGACTGAGGTGATTAGAAAGAGTTCCCAAATGGAGAGCGTCAGGGATGACGGTACTTCCCTGTGTTTCTCGGGCCCCTTTTGGGCAGAAGTAGAAACCCACTCTGCTCTAAGCAGAACGGGGAAATGCACTGGCTCATGATGGAAAAGCCCAGGGCTCCCGTGCTCCGGGGGTGACCCTAGGACCCAGTCTCTCCATCTCCTCGCTCTCTTTTCCTGAGCTGCCGTCATTCTCAAGCAGGCCACTCCACACGGTGTCAAATGGCCACCGGCAGCCCAGGCCAAGATCAAGACATCAAGCCCAACAGAAAGAGGCTGTTTTTGCTAATATTTCCATAACGCAAGTCCCAGAGGTGCCTCCTATTGGCCAAGCTTGGGCCACATGCCCACACCTGACCAAGTCACTGAAATTAGGGGCCGTATAGCTCAGCTCTGGTTGGCGACACAGGCCCATGTGTTCGTCCATGAACCATGTGGATGGAGTGTGGGGAGGGGGTTCTCTCCAGGGAGACAGGTACTATAAACGGGACAGATGGTGGGCAGGCAGACAGGAGCCAGCACTAGCGCCCCTGCCTGGCACAGAGCTGGCTTGGGAGATGGTGGCCGGTTTGGTGCAGGGACCATTATCCTTGGGTAGCCTCGGCCTCCTGCCTTCCAGGTCCTGATGTGGGCAGGCCTCTCCCCACTTCTGCACAGGATGGCAAAGCTGGGCCTGGACCCTCCCCTAAACACCTGCCCTTTCCTGCCAGTGTCTCATATTGTAAATGCCATGACCACTTGGAACTGGGCGGGTCAGTGCTGAGTTTGGGGCGCCTACCGGCTCTGCCCACAGTAGGCACCTGCTCACTGTTTTCTCCCCAGACCTGTTGCCCCCTTGCCATAGTGCCCAGTGAGTCAGGGAGGTTGTGCGGAGCTTGTGTGAGGCCCTTGAAACTTTAGGGTACCTGAGATCAGAGCTCAGGCCCTCCACACTTCCTTGGGTCCTGGCAAGGTGGGGCCGCCTCGCAGCGGCTCAGCCTTGGAGGTCCAGGGGATTGCAGAATCTTGCTCAGGTTCTTTTTGGCTCTTGGTCTTTGTTATCCACTCTGTTGGATTCAGTCTCCAGCTCTGCATTTATCCCCAGCATCTCTCGGCACCACCCCCTCCTCACGGTGGCGCAGAGCTGCTGCAGCTCTAGCCTCACTTCCCAGGTTTAAGTCCAGTAGGAGACTGAGAGCCTTTCCTTGTACCTCCCACTCTGATTGGACCGTTTCAGGTCACATGCTCATTCCTGATCCTCTGTGTGCAGCGAATGCTGGATGTTGATTGGCCAGGCATGAGTCACACATTCAAATCCCAGGTAACCTGGAGAACCTTGGGAAAATCAGGGCAGAGCCTCTTAGTGCCAAGGGCTGGCCCATCCACAGCCGCCCCCAGGGGCAGACAGCTCCCCACCCCAAGAACTGAGTATTAAGCTCTCTTGGGTCTGTGGGCTTTCACGAACGACACAGGCCATAGGTCCATTTAAAAATCATTTTATTATTAACAGCATCTTCCCATTTAGCCAAGTGTCTGTCATGTATAAGGAATGTCGGCAAATATTCCATTTGAAGCTTCTTTGTACATATTTCCATTGATAAATAAACTCTGAATTCACATAAAAAAGTTAAACTTAAATAACTCATATTTCCTTCTCTTGTAACAGGCATATATTGGTAAAATATAAATATTCTTGGACTCAGGCTTTGTTCTAAGTGAGGACAGTAATTCATCACATGGTACAATTATTGACAACAAAACCAAGAAATTGTCAGCTGGTGTCCCGGCTTGGACTAGTACTGAGGTGGGAAAAAGAAGATTCACATTTGGTTTCTGGGCAAAGGGTGGGGCAGGAGTGGTGATGAGAGAGAGGACAGATTTCTTTACAGCTCTGATAAAAATAATCTGTTCTGCCACTGAATTTTAACTGAATATATTCTTCTACATTTGCTGATTAATTCCATAATCGTGTTACTTAAAACTCAGATGTCAACTAACAAAATATGGCACATAATCCATTTTGAACAATGTCAAGAGATTCGAAAACAATCATTGGGCTGGCGAAAATAACAGGAACGCACGTGGGGAGAGCGATGATTCGGGGTTTGTTTGGTTAGTTCACTGCGGTCGGTCGCATAGTCATCCGGGGCCTTGGGTGTGGCAGACTCGTCCTCTCCGGGCACCCCAGGCGGGACCCTCCTTGGCCTGAGCGGCAGTGAGGCTGGCGGGCGTCTGCTCAGAGCACACGGGGGATGATGGTGAAGGGCACCGCGGGGCTGCTGGCCTCCAGCTCCAAGGCGGTCAGGAAGCACTCGGTGGCTGCCGCGTCGTTGCCCTGAGCTTGAAGGACCTCGCCCAGCCCGTTCCAGACCTCGTGGGCCGTCGAGTTCACCTGCACAGCATCTCGGAGGATCTTCTCCGCCAGACTGAAGCGGCCCAGCTGATGCAGGATCAGGGCCTGGAGGCATCAGAGAGACAGACAGACGGTCGGTCAGTGAGACTCTCCAGCTCTGGGCTCCTCTGTCCTTGAGTTTTATCAGGTTTCTTAGAGGTAGGCATACATCTCCTTTGGGATGGGCACCCATTAAATTGAAGTTCTTCCTGCACTCAGGGGCAACAGTCCAAAGAGTCGCTTAACCCAAATGAAGTTGCCGACGTTCAGCCATTTTTTCATGATAAAAATGGCAATTTCACATGGTTCATCTGAATAGCTAACACCCAGGAGTGACTTAATCAGAACGGCCATGGTCTGTACTGACTCAATGGGCTGTCCCACATGTACCAGCTGATACCTGCCTGCACAGAAGGGTGTCTGTCATCTTTTTTTGTTGTTGTTTAAATAACCTAAAGAAACGTCATTTGTGGCATTATTATCGTAATGATTAGAAAAGAATTTTTAAAATTGCTCATAGTCCCCTAACCTATGCGAGCCCCTGATCTCATCTTTCCCTGCTCAGTCCAGGCGGGACCCAGGCACAGCTGTCACTTTTCACAGTGTTAGTCAGGGTGTATTCGTTGGTCCTCAAATGTTTTACCATAATCATGCTCCCAAGCTGCACATCTCCCCAACTGATGTGTTTACTCTTCCATCCCACGGACACGCTCTCATCCGCTCAGCCTCTCCCTCGCGGGGAGACGGTGAGGTTGCATCCCGTCTCTTTACCACTGTAAATCGCTCTGTGATGGACACTTTTCCAGAAAGCGCCTTTTCACTCCTTTAGACCAGCAGATTTCGAATCTGGAAACCTTTGGTTAAATGGAACCTCACTGACAACACCCACATATGCTGGGTACAGACAAAAAGTAACTGTGGGCGGGGACAGGTCAACGGGGACGAGCCCAGAGTCCCCTGCGGGCTCCTCGCAGAGGCCCTGGATGAGGCTCGGTGGGACCAGCTTGACAATCATTTGGAGGGGCTTCCTGTAGTGCAAATTTCCCTGTGAAGGCATTATTGGATCAGGGGATATGCCTCTCTTTCGGGTTCTCCAAATATTTTGCAAATTATATCCCCAAAGGGTCATGCCACTTTTGGGGCCATCGACAGTTTCAGGGGTTGGTCCCCTGCCCCCGCTATCATTACTCTTTATTTTTGCTAATTTTGTAAGCTCAGAATATCCCTCCTTATGAAACCCTGCATTCTTTTTTCAATAACGATTGAAGTTAAACACTTCTCATGCCTTTGTTTAGAAGTCTTTTTGAAGACTGATATTCATCTGCTATCGTAATTATCACGTCTGTTTTTTACTTCTGAGCTTTTTTTCTTTAAACAAAGATTTTTAGTTTATTTAAATTCAATTCATTGATCTTTGGTTATTAATTTACTTATCTATGTATCTATGTATCAGTATGTATCTATCATCTATCTATCTATCTATCTATCTATCTATCTATCTATCTATCTATCTTTCTATCATCTAAGTATCTATCTATTATCTTCAAAGCCTAGAAAGTTATCTTTGCAAAGAACTGACACACGAACAATTCCATTTATTGTGATCTATCTTTAGATAATGGTCTGCTTTACTCTGGCAGATAGAAATCTAAGTGCATTTCTTCTACTTTGCTAGACACAAACTAGCTAATTCTCCCCTCTACTCACTCTCGTGAGGTGCTGCCTTTGTCAATTATTACATGAAACATGGGCCTTCTACAAGAGAAGCCTAACATCTTCACAATGCTTGGTCTTCCCACCCAAGAATGTGGCGTGAGCTGATCTTTCAAAGCTCCTCCTAAATCTCCCAATAAAGCCTTGTACTTTTTTTCACGGCTCATGAAATTGATGAGTCATCTCGTGTTCTCAATTCCACCCTTCACCAAGGGGCAAGGGGCAGCGGGTCGGCTCTCAGAGCAGCCAGTCCAGTGGTATAAACGTGCCTGCCACGGGGCTGGCGGGGGGCC